CTTGGATACTGCGCTCACACACTGAAAGTTTCCAGTGTGCTTCTCCTGGTATGAGATCTAAGAAAATTTGGCGCTGGTCGCAGTAGCTCGGCTGCGGAATGCCCCGTCAGGGTCGAGTCGAAGTGAAGGCTGAGAGGCTGACCACCCTGTTTGCTCATGTGAGGCGGTTGAAGAGGGACAATGACCAAATGAGAATTTGTGCTGCAAAGCTCAGTGGTTCATCCTACACTTCCCTACAGAAAGCCATTGCCATGGTGACCTTGCCAGAGGAGGAGGAGCCCTTGGAAAAGGGTGAGGAAGCTTCCTTGGAAAAGGGGCAAGCCTTGAAAAAGGACATTGCTGCAAAGCTGCCCTTGCAAAAGGAAAAGCTGCTGGTGAGATTTCTGTGGATTCTCATGGTGTGCCTCTGATCTTTTGCACACCAGACAAGGCAGGCAGCTCCCCCTCCAGACCAAAACCCTTCATCAACAGAAGGGAAGGCACCATGGTCCATGGACATAGTTCCCAGGCCTTGCAAAAGGCATTGGGATATGGTACCACTGAGCCAGCAGCAGCCCTTGCAAAAGGGAAGGTCCCTGCCAAAACCCTTGCAAAAGGGAAAGGCAAGAGCAACAATGCCTCTGCAAAGGCCCTTGGAAAGGGGAAGGGTGACAAAGCTGCTGCCAAGGCCCTTGCAAAAGGGAAAGGCAAGGGCAAGAAGGCCTCTGCAAAGGCCCTTGCAAAAGGGAAAAGGGATGGCAAAGCCCCTGCAAAGGCCCTTGGAAAAGGGAAAGCTGCTGCAAAGGCCCTTTCAAAAGGGCAAAAGAGGCCCCTTGAGAAAGGGAGTGAGGGCCCCTGGTATGCCTTGAGAGAGACAAATGCCAAGAAGCCCTAGAGAACATATATCACAGGTGTCTTGGCACCAGGGAGTGGCCACCCAAGGAAGCTTATTGTGGAGGTTCCAGCCACTTGGAGCTCTCAGCATGACTTGATTTGCAACAAAATCATGAAAGCCTTGGAAAAGGACAGCGTCAGCAAAGCAAAGGCCTTGAAGATGAGAGAGGAGCCAGTGGCAGCCTACCCTTGAGATGCTGTTGCCAAACACCCTTGCCAAAGGGTGAAGAGCTTGCTCACCCTTGCAAAAGGGTGCAGCCCTTGTTAAAGGGCATGAACCCTTGCAAAAGGAAGCCGCCCTTGATAAAGGGCATGAATCAATCCTTGCAAAAGGTGTTCCTTGCAAAAGGATGGAAGCAGCCCTTGATAAAGGGCACAAATCAATCCTTGCAAAAGATGTTCCTTGCAAAAGGATCGAAGCAGTCCTTGGTAAAGGGCATAAATCAATCCTGTTCCTTGCAAAAGGCTGGAAGCAGCCCTGGGCAAAGGGTGTGACCTTGAAAAAGGATACCCTTGGAAAGGGTTCTGCACCAAGACCTTGAGAAAGGGTTTTGTTAAAGCTAGGCCTTGGAAAAAGGTTTGTACATATGTACATGTATAGCTGGATATAGTGCTAGCATCTTGGAAAACAGCTGCTGCTGCCGCCGCCGCCGCCGCCGCTGCTGCTGCTGCTGCTTTTAGCTGCTTTCTGGTGTTGGTTTCTTCTAGTTGTTTTTTCTAGGGAGGTGTTGTTGTTTTTCTTCTTGGTTCATGTGTTGGGTTTTGGTTTTGTGGTGTGGGTTTGGTGTTCATGCCTTGATGCACCTGCAGCCATTTGAGCTACAAGCGGCTCAGCTGAGCCATCTTGCAGGGAACGGACTGGGAGGAGGAGGAGTGGGAGGAGGAAGAAGGATGAGGAGGTGTCTTCAGGACCCCCCTCCTCCTCCTCCACCTCTACCAACGAAACAGATGTGGCCCCTGCCACCAAAAGCAATGCCCATGGGAGGGTTTGGGGGCAGGGGTCCACGTCCAGGGCCAGGCAGGCAAGGAGGGCTGCACAGTTTGGCAGTCCATCGTGCTCCTGCCCTTCCTGCTCCAAAAGGGCTTGCAAAAGCCAAAGCCAAAGGGCTTGCAAAAGCCAAAGCCAAAGGGCTTGCAAAAGCCAAAGCCACAGGGCTTGCAAAAGCCAAAGCCAGAGGTGGCAAGCAGGAAGGCGATGGCCCTGGAGACCTTGCAAAAGGGAAGAACCTTGCAAAAGGGAGGGATCGATGGAGGTGGTTGTCGCTTGAGCTGTAGAGGGTGTGCTGCTGTGTTGGTGAGTTTGTATCTCCTGTGGTTGGTGACTTCGAGATTTGTGTTGGTCTTCGTACGAACTCTCATTAAAACACTCTCGACAATACCTTTCTTCTCAACAAGGGATTGGGGGGAGATCAGGTGTGCCTCTGTGTCCGCTACGCTGCAAAGCCCCTTCCTTTCTCCGGCGGACTTCAAATCAGGAAGGAGCTGTCTCTAGATGTACTGGTCTAGGCTTGGCACTGGATTCGTGGCCTTTTTGGCTTGTGAATACCAGGCATCACACAGAGGCAGCAATTGGTGACCCGTGCAGGAGCGCTCTAGTCTAGTTGTATGACACGAGTGGGATCAAGCTTCCGAAAAACAAGCAGGTCATTTTCGAAATCTGTCAGCGCTCCCACAAATCTCAAAGTTTCAATCGAAAACAAAATTGGGCTGGAGCGGCGGTCCAAAAAGTATCAACTCGCCTCCACGGCCACCAGCCTGTACATTGAGCCATGCCGTCGACATTCACTTGTCGCTGGAAGAATTTCCAAACCCAAAAGTGGGCCTCATGGTGTTGCCGATTCGAGCCACACCTGAATGGCCGTGTTTGGATTGTGGTTGAGTTCCATAAGTTTCTCGCCCGCCGGAACGGACCCTAATAAGGTGCGCGTGGCACCGCCGTCCAAGATGGCCATTCCTTTGGATACAGCTTCTTGAGTGGTCAAACCTCCTGAGGCTACATTGGCGGAGTCCAAATCTGTGGCGCTGCAAACAAAAGGCGCGCTCTCCTCTTCATGAATTTCATGAGCACTGGCATTTTGGTTCAGTGCTCGCTTGGGGCATTGGGCCACTTTGTGTCCCATGACACCACAGTTCAAACATTTGATCGTAGACAACGATGGAGCTGAGCGATTGGCGAATGCTGGCTTGACAGAAACACGGTCAGCCTTGTAGTACTGTCGGCTCATTTTGACCTGGTGCTGTTTGGCTCGAGCTTCACGGAGTGTCTTGCGGCCCTGATCCATCGGGCCATGGCTTCTTGAGCGTCCTGTTCGGCCTCCTCCATGAGCCTTCTTCGTTCAAACCAGTACTGGCCAGGTAGTTCAGATCTGGGCCTTGTCGGTCCACCATCGAAACTTCTTCGTCATCCTCGAGGGCAGCATCGACCGTCCATGCTGAGCTACGACCTGATTGATCCTTGTGCTTCAGGTCGTGATCAGGCCACTGATTGCGAAGTTCCTGTGCAACTCGCTCAACTGAAAAATCATCTTTCAGCGCTGTAAGGATAAGGTTCAAGAGAAGCCAATCCAGCATCCTGCAACAGGAACCATCCTTGAACGTCCGCGATGCTCCCACGTGGGAGCCCAAGCATGTGCATGCCAGTCATGGGAATGAGGTTGTCCCCCAGAGCCACTATTCCAATCGTAAGCGCCCCAAGAGCCATAGTGATCCCATGACTCCTCTGCATCATGAAAAGGCTGCTCCTCCTCACCCTCATTCTCCTGCGACTGGGATCCCCCTGACATGCCCATATGTGACCCTGTTGATCCGGCTTGCTGTTGTACACTCCAGGCTGATGCTGAGGTGGCACCTCCGGTTCTTGGGCCTACCCAGCTAGCATAGCGACTGGAAACACGGTGTAGTGTCTGACATGCTCTAGCATAGATTTCTCCTTTCCGGGTGATGTAGTCGTTCATGGACTCATGTCGTTTCCGACGGGTCTGCTTGAAGTACTTCCCCAAGTACTCCGGCATCTCTGTCAACTGTGGTTGGCCTAGGTGCTTCCTAAGATGGTCCAACAAACGATGTACTCCCCCTGAATAGGAAATCCAGCCTGGCTTCATAGCCATCACGAAACGACGAGCAGTGCCTGTCAGTCCTGATTGTAAGCGAGGTCCACATAAGTAACGCTTGTGGTGGGCTACACTCTGTTCCCAATGTTGCGCCAGCTCTGAGTATTCCTGGAGTGTAGCAGCATTGCCATCCCATATCGGCACTCCTTCTTTTGTTCTCTCAACTTGGAGAATACCCCGGTCCACCATGGTTCTGCAACGGCCACGCAGCGGTCACAAACGTGTCAACTGTTTCCCTGGATCTTCAGGCGGCGGAGCCCGCAGGCTCCGCTACCATGCACGGTAGCCGGGGATCTCAAGCTGAAGGGCTTATGGCACGAACGCTCGACGACGGCAATGGCAAATGCGAATGGCTAAAACGAGCTTTTCGTCCCTCGGTCCCAAATGCTTCATGAATCCACTATCGTTGAATGAACCACAAGAAGGTGTTCTTCTTGCATATATATATATATATATTATATGTTGAAATGGCTACTGTCCTAGGCCTGCAATCACGAATCACGGAAGCTCTACTGTGGAGACTTAATTATGGTTCTGCTTCCAACCCTTCTCCCAGCCCACCTAGTGAAGTCATTGCATGGTCGCCACAGCCGCTGCCAAACTTGCAGTGAAGGCATTGGAAGGGGAAATGCTGTTTCAGGCAGGAGCCCCAAAAATGTAGGATCTTGCTCTTACTTACTATCAGAGTACGGACTCCTGCAACACCAACGGTGGCAGGTGCACAACCCTGAGGCCATTAAACTAGAAGCACCGAACACTGCAGTCATTCTGAAATGTGTGTGGATGGCTTACAACGCATGACTCACCCTCCATAACGGAAGAGTACAACAATGTTTGGCTTTTGGGTAGACACTAGAAGAATGTTCATAGAGGGATATAGCGTGTATGGTTCTAATGGGTCGCTGACGGCTACTCTCTTTGTCTAATTAGTTTGGTACTTCGGGCATGTGAGCAATACCATTGTTTTGGGAGCAAATCTGATCCCTCAAGCGCTTTCTGACCCCTATGCGCGCACTCTCAAGTCACAGTCAGCACAGCTGGTTTGTGGAACACAATTCTCGCAAGCTGCGCCTGAAAAAGCACAAGGGAACGCAGAGTTGTCGGCCCAGAGCCACGGTTGGCCAGGTATGATGTGGTGGGAGCTGGCACGTTTGCACCTGCCTGACAGGTCGGACAAGATATGCTCAAGCCTTCAATGAGGGTGATTCAAGATTATGTTGCACACACAAAGATCACATCCGGATGAACAAAAGGCATACTTTTGCAGGCTGAACTCAAAAGAACAACAACAATAGCAAGAGCCTGCTGTACATTTATTATATATATGCATATTACAGTATATAATCATAAAATATATATATATCCCGCCGGGTCTACTTAAGACTGTGACACGTTTGAAGAAAAAAAAAACGTTTTGTTTAAACGTTCGTACGCTTTTTTACGAAGACAACCAGTGATAGTGAACTGAAGTTGTATATATATATATATTTGTTTCCCATGTCCAGTTTGCAGTTTAGAACCAAGCGTTAACATCCCAACCCATTCAACCTTACCCTACTCTCAGTCAGTCGCATTGTGTAGCGTAGCATAGAAGAGTTTCTTATGTACTGTATGGATGTGCACCTGGAACCGAACGTTTACATCCCATCCCATCCGACGAAAACCTTTGGAATGGTGGAACAGTTCTGAAGTCGTAATTACATTTGTTTGTCAAACGACAAAAACAGGCGCGGTAAATTACATGTATTTCTTGCACAAATGTCCAAAACAAACAATTCAAAAAGCGCGCAAATTACGTATGAAAATACACGTGAGGTAAAAACACTGACAGTCTTAAGTAAATCCGTCTGGATATATTAATATATACATGTTTGTGGAAGCCTATCAACTAAGGCCCCTGACTCGCCTTGAACTCTTCCCACATCAAAGACGACAGTTCCATCGCCTACCAACTTGTGGGCTGACGTGTCACGCAGCTGCTATCCAAATCAGGTTCTGCCCGCTCTATATCTCAAGTCAACGATGGTTTAAGTAAATCTCACACCCCAAACAAGACCAAACCTGAAAGTTTGCCCGTTCTCTGATAGGTGTCTATTGGTATACAATTAACAGGTGCAAGGAACAGCCCACGCAGTTTGTGCTGATTTAGACTGGCACTCTTCAAGAACTTCAGCATTGTTGAGTGTCGATTTCAATTGCACGCACTTGAGGCCCAAGCAATGAAAAACTGGGTGGGAGGCGGGTGCACTGATTGCACTCACTTACCAACATGCTCGCTGGTGTTTTCTTGTCTCTCCCATTCACTCTCCGTTTCTCTCTCCCACCTGTCTCTCTCGTCTCTATCTCTCTCTCTCTCTCTTCAAAATAACTTGGTTACTTGCTCCACTTGCTCACTGACAGCGCCGCGGTATTTCTCATCTGCTGCTTCCCTTCCACCTGACTGCCCTACTGACACTGACTTCCCACCTTATCCCCCCAAACTGGGTGAGCAGCACTTCACATAAGGGCTGACGTGCGTATCTCTGTGACGGTTTTTTCTGGAAAACGTTTGGTGAACATAGATAACTTACAGTAATTTGGGGTCTCCCCATGTCCTCCTCGAACAAAGTTGACTTTTTTGAAACGTGTTGATACAGGCATCACTTGGGGTCGCAACTGTCGACCATTCTGGGCCTCAATCATCTGTTGTGGTTCAGCCTCTCTGGCACATGCTGAAGATCCCAGTCTGCCATTGGACATCGTGAGACATTGACCTCACAGGAAGTAAAAATCACACATAGAGGCTCTATCTAGTTTTCCGGAGGACCAGCGATCCTCTCAAAAGCGACCATCTTAGAATAGGAATTAGGAACAAGCAACAAAACATCGATTTATCATATAGAACTCAGGACAAGAAACAACATGGTCAAACATTCAAACATTATTAAACACCAGGAAAGTTGATGGAACCGTCAATAAAGTCGCGATCGTCACTCTTTCAGAAAAAAATAGCTTCCTCGGCCTCCATTGGTGATGGAACGATAGCGCCGTGTCGTCTCTGCAGCATCCGGCAACATCTCTGCCACGAAAACATCTCTGCTCCCACCTCCATTGAGCTCCAAACTCCAAACTTCGAAGCGTTTTTAACAAGCGTTTTAAACATCGTTTCTGCCAAGCTTACATTACGCTGGATGGACGCCCTTCGAACATGTTCAGCATCTTCCGGAGTCGATGTGGGCCTAAAAAGCCTAGAATTATTGCTACTAGTAGTAAGAATGCTCCTAGTAGTAGGGCCAGGAGCCCCTAGCTTCCTTGTTCCTAGTAGCGATGCCCTTTGTTCCTATTAGCGTCCTCTACCCCCCCCAGGTGAATTAATCAACCCATACCATAGAATCGCGCACTGATATTTACCGCATATCGGAGAGCCAGGCTCCTCGTGATCTTTGCGAAGGCTTGCAGCATTGCTGCACATTCGAGCTGGTTTGTGCGGCACTTTGCCAAACCAGAGTCCAGTTTGCTGCAGCACTGTGGACCTCGAAGAGCAGATTCCGTGGCAGGCGCATTTTGCGAATGTGAGCGCTGCAGGCGCTGGGCTTGCGCGGGTTCGAATTCCAGCGATCGCGTGAGCCGCCTCCATCATCAATCGGACTGAGACTTTGCAAGATACACGAACACCGCAGATTCTTGTTTCGTTTGGCTGCTTAGTTCTTTTTCGAATCATAGGCTGGACAGGGCTGGGGGATCCCCCAGAAGAATCCAAATGAACGACTCATCTCAAAAGTAAAGCGGCGTATTGTACTGTTCTGGCGCAAGGAGCAGGCCACCAATAGCCAAGACGGGTGATTTCTGGAGGGGCAAACCTAAAATAGTTTGTATAGTTTATATTGCTTCAAGTAGCGAACATTGTTTCTAATAGCTTCTTGTTACTAAGGCACTTGTTACTAGTAGCGATGCACTTGCTTCTAGTAGTTTATTGTTTCTTTGCATGATATATATGTATACAAATCTAAAGCATCCGAAACAGGTGTCTTCCAGCCATGGAAAGTGGTCGGTCTAAAGCATTCTCACACATTTGCAGGGCCGTTAACATGCAACAGCTCTGGATGATTTTGGGAAAGCAGGCTGAACGCTACACCATCAAAATCACCTCCAGTGATTACAACGTCTCATCTTGGTAGTTGTACACTGAAACTCCATCGCCCTCAGCCTTCACGTAGCTGGCCATTGGCAGTCACCGATCTGCGGATCCGTGTGTCCACAGTGAGGTGAAGTTCCATGCCAGCAGCAAAGAAGAGCTCCTAACGGTTCTCGGCCCCTAGTAGTTTCTTGTTACTGCAAAATTTGCCGCAGTGGGACAAGGTTTTGCCAGAGTCTCTGACACTATGTCATGGCCCTCGTGACGCAAATTCTAGGTTGGCAAGACTCTTGAGTCGTGCACGTGAACAGGGACACACACTGGGTTTCAGGTTCAGGGTCTTCGTTTTTCACAACTAAAGCTAGGCTAAAGGGAGCGTCAAAACAATTTGTTGCACCAAACACAGGTTGTGAAACTTTGGGAACATAAATTGCACAATAGGCTGCAAAACCATCTATGTGTATAGCTGCAAGTTCATATCCGACATTGCCTGCAATCTGCTGGGTATGTTTGTACTGCTACAAAGTGAGGACCCAATTCCAAACATTACAAAAACAATGTGAAACTGTGGGTGCAATTAAAATGTCGACCGGACGCATGGCCGCCTGGCGAATTTGCGAATCCAAATCTGCGTACCGGGGGGTGACGACCTGCGGTCAAAAGCAAAAGGCGTGTCGCCGAGTTTCCCAAGGGACTCTTTCTCGCAAGGAAGTGGGACAAAAACATACATGAACAGCATAAATAGCATACATTGAATTACTAAGTTCTAGTCCATTCCATTCCATCCATACAAACATACAAGCATGCATGCATGCATGCATACATACATACATACATACATACATACTTGCATTACATTACATCACATTACCTTACCTTACCTTACCTTACATACATTACATACACTACATACATTACATATACTACATACATACAAACAAACATACATACATACATTGCAAACATACATACATACAAACATACATACATTACATACATGCATTACATACAATACATTACCTTACAGTACATTACATTACAATACGTTACATAGCATTACATTACATTACATACACTACATACATAACATAACATAACATAACATAACATACAAACATATAAAGCATACAAACATACATACATTACATTACATTACAATACATTGCGTTACATTACATTACATTACATACACTACATACATAACATATTAACATACATACATACATACATACATACATACATACATGACAACGGTTCACCTGCTATGGACTTGCAAAGAGACCAACAAGCACTTCCCTGCCCTGGGCCTTTGAACTGGAGCATGGCAACAACCTTGAGTTCTGGGCCCAAGGGCTGCTTCGGCATTGCCTGAGCAGAAGGTTGCAACAGGAGGAGCAGCAGTTAGGCCTGGGGCACATGGACTACACACGATGAGTTGCGCCTCAAAGGACAAGAAGTGGTCACCATTCACATCTCTGCCACCTCCAAGGATGCCAGACTAATGCATTTTGCATAGCCATTGTGCGTGATGTTTTGCTTGGAGGTTAAGTGCGCAGGCAGGGCGCTGTCATCACGGTCTTGCCGGACAAGCAGACTTTGGGAAAGAGCTTGGTTCTATGGAGTCCGCACGATTGCTCACTATGCTATGTTGATCTTCAGAGGCCAGTTGTGATCCACATTGCTTCGACCAGTGACCAGAGCATGGGAAGCGTGGCGGCGGCACAAACACATGGATACCTTCCATGACCTCAGCACGCTCATCACGCTGGACCAAAGACAACGCATCAAGCTCCTATACATGAGCTCAAACCAACTAAAAGACATGCCCAACACGGAATGGTCTTTGCGAAACAGGATGCATGAGACCCATGAGCTTGAGCAAGAACTGCAAGACCAGGACAGGGGGTATCAGAGAGTAGCACCCAGCGCATCAAACACCTGATGGAGAACAAAACACACTTTCTCCATCAGACTAGGGAAAAGGGCAAGGAAAGGAGGAGGAAGCAGGCTTGTGATGGAAAACGAGAATGCTGCCAAAACCTCACCAAGCAGCCACAGCCGGGCGGTCATGCCTGGATCACCAAGGGACAAAGTGCCCAATGTCAGCAACGCAAGAAGAGATTGACCGCGCGCAGCAAGATGGAGGATCTACAACAAGGGCAGCGGCCTTGTCCAATGGCCTCCCAGCCCACCTTCAAAGGTGGCAGTGAATCCACGCCAGATAGCAAAGCATCCATCCTCAAGCACATGGTGGATGGGACTCTGGCAGGCATGGAACCGGTGATGGCAAAGTGCTGGAATGAAGAGTGGAAAGCCAGCCCGGACTGGCAAGGACATCCGACTCATCGACTTTGGCGAAAAGGAGGACGAGTCTTTTGTCAGCAACGCAAAAGCTATGCCATCGTCACCAGCACAACCAACAGGCCACGCTGCCCCAATGCTTCAAGCCCAAGGAGGCAGATCGCCCAGCACAGAAAAGGAGCGTAGAAAAATACATACATACATACCATACCATACCATACCATACCATACCATACCATACCATACCATACCATTACATTACATTACAGTACATACATTACATACAAAACATACATACCATAACATTACATATCATAACATTACATTGGATTACATTACATACATACATACATACATACATACATACATACATGGCTCAAGGCCGTGAGTGGTTCGAGCCGGTCCCATACCAATCCGGATACAGGCAAAAGCCATAAACAACCGGAACCTCGTGAACAGCACTGGACTCCTTTGCCCGCAATCTCACGAGTCCAACAACCTCGTACTTGAAGAGACCTTCGGCGACTGGCAATTCTGGCGCTGGACAACCACCAGGGCATCCAGCTGATCCTGAACTTTCTTCTCCCTCAGCGTTCGGGAGATTGACACTTACCACTTTGCCGCTATCCCTTTGTGATAAGGTTTGTTCCAGGCCAGAACGCGTTCGGTGCCACAGTCATGCAGTGGGGGAGAAGCTACATGGTGTGCAAGCACGAGCAATGTCACAACTGGATATGGGAGGACAAGCTCAAGCCAGGCACACGATGCAGGAGCTGCGGTACATGGTGGCCAAATACGACCAAAGCCACGGGGAAAGGAAAAGGTCAAGGTCACGGAAACCGAAAGCAAGACTCATCGACCTGGTACAGGAAAGCCACGGATGGACTGATCGAAACGCCACCAGGACTGAAGCAGTTGAAACTTGAAACCACTCAAGAGAGCCAAAAACCAGCTGCCTGCAGCGGCAGAATTGTTGGCCACAACATGGGATGTCATCCCGGAAGGCATCCAGGGCAAACTAGGTCCACCGCCACAAGAACCAGAGCTCACGGACTTGCTGAAAAGTCACACGTCAGCATAGACGTGGTCACCAAACTGACACAACCCTGTCCTGACACAGCACAAAGGACATTGCCACGAAGCTGAAAACACAGGTGACTGACATGAAGAACATCTCGGTGCGCAAAACCCAGCTTCAGATGAGATTAGATACAGTCAAAAGCCAGCATGCTGCCATGCTACAGAAAAAACAAGACCTTCAAACAAAGCTCAATGAGGGACAGCAGCGGCTCAAAGATCTCTCTGAGCAGTACATGAAGTTGGTCAATCAAACGCCCACCCCAGAAGAGCTACGCAAGCCAAGTGAAGGAGACACACCACTCCCGATGGCGGTTGAGACTTTCGTCACCAGCTTGGGCCTCACGCTGACTGAAGAGCAGCGCCATCAACTCCATGGATTGCTTAAAAGGCCAATCCCGGAACCTGAAGACCCAAGCAAGCGCAGGAAAACAGAGGGCACGGTGCCGCCATCACCACCTTGAGGACACTGTGGGTAACACTCTCCAAGATCTTTCTGGCGGACTGCAAGGGGTTTTGGTGCCCATACCCCTTGATGACGTTGATTGGGCATCTGATCAAAGCCATCCATCGCCACAGATGGTTTGCCGCGCTGCCTCAAGCATAGCAAGAGATTTTGACTTATAGGATGGTTGGAGCGCAGGGGAACTTATGCAACGACACCGTCTTGTTGAACTTTTTCAAGACCCAGGGGACCACTCTGGCAAAGATGATGGGGAACTCACTTTGCCCAAAGAGACACCAAACCTTTTGAGCTTTCAACCTGATTCTCACAGTTTTGACTCAGCACACCGTGACACAACAGGCACTACACAAGTTAGCCAAACGTCTCTCGGTGCGTTGGGACCCCATGTGATTTCCATCAAAGGTGGAGAACCAAGACAGACCGGTCAAGTCCACTGGACCAAAGGAAACAAAAGGATGCAAAACGTCTATGGATCGACCACGGAGTGCATCCTCCAAAACCTATCCACGAAGATAGGCAATCCAAGCATGAGGCGCTATGCCAATGCACCGTGGAGAGCTTTCGCCTGGACATGTGCATTGCTCCAAGAGACGAACACACAGCCTTGGGGAAACCTACAAGATGCAGTCCAAGAATCTTTAGAGTTGGCTGAGGAGATTGACATTCGAAAGCTGCCAGGACTTCAACGACTTTGGAAGAAGCACGACTTGAACGCGCAAGGAGATGCTAATCACTTTGTCAACTCCTTATGGAACCTTTCGCAAACAAGAGCTTTCCATTACAGGTATGCAGAAATCAGGTGATCATACACGACATAAGAGCACTCCACCAGCTTGTACACACCTGGCCAACTGACCAGATCAGCTATCTCGAGCAGGCATGGAGCCACACTCACCAGCAGCTGCAGGCCAAAGCACACCCATGGTACATCGTCAAAGGACCCATGGCCGCAGCCATAGCCTATCTCCTAGAATGGCAGTGGCAAGTTCAGGAGCTGTTTCAATGGACCAGACCAGAAACACCATACCTTGATGCCAACACCCTAAATCTGGGGGACCCATGGTGGAGACTGGAACAGGCATTGCTCTTGGAAGCCAAAAACCAAAGAACAAGCAGACTTGCGTCCAGACCCAACCATCAGCACCTGCTGACAGCGCTTGACTGGCACACCTACAGAACCGTCAGCAAGCAGCTACCCGCCAGACTCAACACCGTGAAGCCAGCAAACCCAAGGCATGTCCAGTATGTCAGGTCCCGGGAGTGGCCCCATCATCTGGATGTGTAAATGGCACAAACAGCATGACCATGAACCTATGCCAGGATGCCACGCATAGCTTGCCCTGAAGAAGAACCGTTGTGGAGGGCAGGCTAAGACCTCCGCCAAGAGAAACATCCCTTGCAAGGGCATGGCACTTGGCAAACCCTACAGCCCATAGGCACACATCCACACGAGGGGTGGGCCTATACACTAGACGCCACGCCCAGCACCTATGATACCAGGAGCCAGCTCTGGGTGTTCGGTCTATGTGTGCACACCATGAATCTGGGTCAATTGCGAAGACTTGGTGCACTGACAGGAAAACCACCGGGGCCCCAGAACAAAACCAAGGCGCTCCTTGCTGGCCTAGCTGCATTGGCCAAACACACCACCACCCAGGTTCGAGTCATAGTTCAACTCACCAGGGTCTGGGAAGCATGGACACAACAGCATCACAGGCAGGCATACGCAGACTTGTTTGAGAACCTCACAGAACAAGATCTGCAACGAGTCACAGTTCTTTATGTGAGCAGGAACACAAGCTCACCAGAAGCACCAGGCAGTGAACCACAATTGCCGCGAAGGCAACGTGATGCTGCCATTGTGGCTTGGGAAAGGGCCAATGGGCTGCATGATAAAAGAGCCGGTGAATGGCAGGCCACACTTGACAAGGATCATGCACTCATTTACAAGCGTGGAGCTGAACGACTTGCCAAGATCTATGGGGACAAGACGCACTATATACATACCAAGGCACCAAGACATCAAGGCAAACACACCAAACAACACAAGAAGGACCTCATCCACCAATGCAAAAAGCCATGGACCAACTCTCATCATCGATGGGAGCCGCACCGAAGTTGCTATCAATGCATGGCATGTGGAACCCGCATGCACCAAGGACTCACAGCCAGTGTACTGGAGGAGCGCCTGCATGAAGAGTGCCCACAGGTACAGATTGAGGACATCCGTACGGCACCCTCCAGCCAGGCTGAACCACTGCCCAAGAAAGTCACTAGGGCCCAACACATCCAGAACATCCTGGCCAAACGAGTCCAACAGCCAGGACCACAAGAACATCAGTTTGCAGAGACAACTGGATATCTTAAACGCCTCAAGTGTGGCCTCAACGTCCACAAAAGAACCAATGAGGCGGCCTTCAGCGCTTTCATCAAAAGCCCATGTGTGGACCAGGCCTTCGAGACACCACACGCAGGCCATCCCTCTCACACGGTATGGCAGAAAGGGGCCAAAATCAGCTGTCTGCAGTGTGGGATCCAATGGCACCTCGACAGCCAACAAAGGATCATCACCACGCAAGCCTTGGGCAAACAGTGCAAAGGCGCTGGACAGAAAGGAACTCCACCCATCAGTGAGTTCTTCAAAAAGCAAGAAACAAGCAAGAGCCAAGAACAACAAGACAGTACAAGCCCAGAGCAAACTCATGACAGCTCCCAGCCAAAGCTGTCCGCACGCCCTGCTGAAGCAAGCAACCAAAGGCCAACGCCCAGGAGGCTCCACTTTCCCACGGCTCTTGATGAAAGCTATGGTGAAGAGTCAACCAACCAACAAGGTGACCAGACCATGGCAAATTCGGACACCGAGAGCACGGATAAACCCTCACCGGAAGCCTGCTACTTCCAAGTCGACTACTTCTGAGGAGCAGCTGACAGGGCAAGTGAGGCAATGTCCTAGGAGACCGCCAAAGAGCACACTTCAACTCTAGAAGAAAAACATACATACATACATACATACATACATACATACATTACATTACATTACATTACATTACATTACATTACATTACATACATGCATGCATGCATCCATACATACATACATACATACATACTATAACATTACATTACAGTACATACATACATGACATGACATTACATGCATACCATACCATACCATTACATTATATGAACACATAAATACAAACATACATTAACCATTACATTACATTACATTGCACTACATAGATCCAGTACACTATTCCATGTATATATCTAATATACTGTACGAGTACATTATCTATGCTGTCAAACTGCCTGTTGCTCAAAATTTCTGATCACACAGCATTTGTGAAAATATTATTGTTTGACTATATACCTTTGCTACTAGTAGCTTTTTGTTCCTAGTAGCGATGGCCTCCAACCTACTTGCAATGGCCTCCACCTAATAGCGTCCGACCGCTACTAGTAGCTTCTTATGCAAACAAGCATACACGCTCTGAGATCTGATACGTTGGCTTCTTGCCGCCTGAACGCATGCTGCACAGCTGAAGCCATCTAACCCCTTTTTGCCACGAGAATTCATCCATACGCCAGCAACACACCTAGGCAATCTCTTGAGCACGGGGGGGCGCAAATGGAAGGAACTACCGCGTTCCGCATGGATTGGCGGCACTCTTTCAGTCATGTGCAATTTGAGTCTTGATTTTCTTTCGAGTCGTTTCTCCTCTCCGTCAAGTCTCGACAAAGCTTCAGAGCTGGAAGAAGCAAAGCGCTCAGACCAACAGCTCACATCCAGAGTTTGGCCATGCTGGTACTCCTCGTAGGATTCGTTTGGCATCTTCAATCAAGTTCTACGGGGAAACTCTTCATGAATCTCAAAGTTTTTTAATGTACATTTAAGACCTGAGTCTGCCTTCAAAGGTATGCACTGGTCTCCTTCGGCAGTGGCATTTTCTTCAGCATGGCACCACCTCACAGGGTGATGAACACCTCTAAGCAAAAATTGTTTAAGCAAACGCATTGGATCTTGAATTCAATTCCAGGCACAGCAATCTGCGAACTAATGCTTATCAGTTTCCCTTAAAATCTAGGAACCAAATGAATAGTGCGAGCGCTTCCTTGTAGAAGCGTGAGCTATCCTGCGTCCTAGCTAGGAGCGAACTTCTCCTAGTAGCGTGTTTATTTTCCCTCACTTAGTCAAGTAGGCGCTTACTTAATTAAGTAGTAGGAGGGCAAAGCAGGCTAACAATAAAACATCTCGAAGAATCCAATGTCCAGGTCATCCAGAATGTTACACAAAAGAGATTGACCAGTGGAGTGATGCAAATCTGAAACCAGCAGATATACATACAGCGCTAGTACGACCCCAGTACACCCCTAGCAAGGCCCCAGCACCTTGCATTTTGAAGTTGAACATGTTGTGGTGTGGGCAACTGCCGGTGTAAACGTTGCCATTTGCCACATTGTAGTCCAAACAAAGATCGTCCTGACCGCTCTGAAGCGAGCAAGTCTTGATCAGGAAGAAGAATTGAGCTCAGCACTTGCTTAGGCCAGTGAAGCGCTATGTACAGTAACCAGATTCTAGTGCAAAAAGGGTCGCTGGGAAAACCCAATTGGTCTAGCTTGCCCAACAAGCAACTTCTTCAAACATGTTCAATTATATACAATAGTTGATCTTCTCTTCATTTTACACATCTGATTCACCCGATACTTTGAGCATACATCAATGCAATAAGAAGCAGGCCTCTTCCGTACAAGATTTGCTTCGCCTGACCTAAACATGGCCTCACTTGCAGTGCACAAGCTCAACTCGCAGGGTCCTGGTGCATGGTTTTCAAGAGATGACCATCGAAGTAGAACTTTTGATTCCATCCACCTGAGCAAACCAAGGAAAAGGGACTCATCAGGCAAGGCTCCTGTGTTGATCACTTCAGCGCTTTGCAGATTGATAACCCTGTCAAGGACTTGCGATCAAGATGCCATGGCAATCTCCCATGTACAAATTGCCAGTGCTAGTGTGGACGTCCAAACATTTGTCGTTTTCTTCTGTCTGTAGCCGGTGATGGTTGTTGAAATACCACATCGTACCTGATCGCTGAGACATCCGCACATCTGCTCTCACTTGGGGCGTCAACACGGTGAGAGTCATGTCGAACTACCAGAGTGTCAAACGAGTGTGCGGATAGAACTCCCTCCGCTTCTCCTTGGCATGCCTTGGTATGCCTTTGTTCCACCACCCGGTGAATGGGAAGAAACAGCAAGGGACTCTCCAATTATGTGATTCTATCATTATCGTAATGTGTGAAGTGATTCACATAGTTTCCTGGACGCAATTTGCCTGCCTGGTGTTTCCGAACAACCCGCAGCTTCCACGTTGTTGTGCACTTGCGCGTTGTATCGCAAGCACTTGCCACCTCCAATGGTCAATTGTGCACCTTGGATTCCAACTCCCAAGCAGGTGTTCTATGGTTTTCAAGTGTTCTCTTGTTGCCACCCTGCGATTTCCAAGGCATCCTGCAAACAAACATGACGATTTGGAAATAACATGAAATAACAGGTATTTCAAGAAACGCAAGTGATTGAACACTGTTGTATCTCTGGATACTTTTTGGTTTATGTTGCTTTGTGTGTTTCATACAGTCATTGAACATGTTTGGTAGGTGGCAAGTTTCATCTTTAACCTGGGCTGAAGAATAGTGGAACATGGTGATGTGATGATCTGCTTCTGCAGCCGCAACGCATACTCGCAAAAAGTGCCGTAAATTTTTAAATCACTGAGCCGCCACAAATAAGCTGCCATCGGTTTTTTCCTCCAAGACTCTGTTGTGCAAACTGGATAACTGTTGCCAATGCTGGGTGTTCATTCCAGAGCAGCTCCCCACGAAAACATTGTTGTTGCTTGGGAGAACATCCAAACAGAAGTGATCATGCCTGGCGCGCATCCACAAGCGGCACGCTATCGACGCTATTGCAGTGATCGACCCCGCTAAAAGAGTCATTACACCAGCATTGACCCCAAATAGCAAGGTAGAATCCAACCACACAAAGAAAGGGTCAGGTTTACCAACAGGGTGTTTTTGATTTCGATCGTTAAGTCGTTAAGTTCTTACTGAGGAAGGTCTTCAATGTTTTGAACACCCGACACAATTCATGACAGCGACACCCTGCCTCCAAATCGCCCACAGTTCCAAAGACTATTTCAAACAGTTTTGCACCGAAAACGCCTGTACCGACCGACACCCATCTCCGAAGACAACTGAACTGCAACTCCATCTGGATGCACTGACATCCTGTCAACAAGCACCTGAACCGACAACACCTGTGCCGACGCCCTGTCTCCAAGGCCCACACAGTCAACTCATTCTAATTTGAAATAAGGACACCATATCGACCTCTATTGGCGGACAATGTCGGTAAGTTTAGGGCTGCCACACCGATCTCGTACATCGCATTTCATTGGAGCAGTCGAACGTAGCTTGAGGCAGTCACAACTCCTGGCCTGCTTTTCAGCCGTCCGTTGTCCCAGTACCACTTCTGATTGTTTCCACCATGGCAATCCCAAATCACGACGTTGCCTCCAGGCAAGCTGGAAAGTGCCCATCTTCTGCTTCTGACTTCAACATTCACAACCTAATTATTGTAATCTAATTTGCACACTGCGTTGAACCGATTTCTTCTAGCAGTGAATTTCACTTATTATCCCGAATCCCAGCCTGAACCAAACGAGTAATCCAAGCACTTGTTGGTGTTGGCCTCTGACTGAAGTTGTTCACCATTCCAAATGAAGCGCTGGTTGCCTGGAGTGGCCCAAAAACAACCCGAATTCATCGATATGTTGCACCTGAAAAGAAGCACAGTTCGTGATATTGCAGTAGAAAAAACGAAAGATTAGCCCCCCCCCATGGTCTTTTTGCTGGTTTGTTGTACTTGGATTGAACTTTTGCGTTTGGAAGCCGTTTCAATCTGAGCACAGATGTGGACATCGGCCGGCGAGTTGTGGTGCTTTGGCCGACAAGGCGCTCCCACCATGACATGAATGCATGTATGCATTTCCATTGCCATTGATGTCCACATCGAGGCAATAGTTGGAGGCGGCATTCTTGAACTCCAGGCCCTCCAGCCCATAGCCAAACAAAGACTCGTGTTCATTCGTGCTCTTCCGACTGTAGTTTGTGTTCAGCTCACCTAACCTATAAATTTCCAAGCTTGCCAACGTTCCTGCGCAGTTCGTTCTGGAAACCTTGAATTTTCCCCACCTGTCAGGTGAGGGTTGTTAGATTGTTGTCAGCTGCCTCGCGTCCCTCCGCCTCAGCCTCCTCCGACCCCTCGCCTCCCCAACCGCAAGTGTCGGACGGCAGTGTTCCACGCCGGACCTCAACCGGCAGGTCCCGACGCCAGTGTCCCCCGCCGAACCTCAACCCCAGCTCCCAATGGCAGTGTTCCCCGCCGGACCTCAACCGGCAGCTTCCGATAGCAATGTTCCCCGCCGGACTTCAATCGCCAGCTCTGGACGGCAGTGTTCCCCAACGGACCTCAATCGCCAGCTCCCGACAGCAAGCAGTATTCCCTGCCGGACCTCAAATGCCAGCTCGGACGGCAGCGTTCCCCGCCGGACCTCAACCGGACGGCACCGTTCCCCGCCAGACCTCAACCACCAGTTCCGGACGGCAGTGTTCCCCGCCAGACCTCAACCGCAAGTCAGAAGATATGCGAGATAGAATGTCAGAAACAATGTCAGAAAATATGCCAGGAAGAATGTCAGAAGATATGCCATTAGAAAGAATACGTCAGAAAGAATGTGAGAAGTTATGCAAAAAATATGCCAGATAGAATGTCAGAAGATATGCCAGAAGGAATGAATGTCGGAAGAGATGCCAGAACGAATGTCAAGAGATGCCAGAAAGAATGTCAGAAGAGATGCCAGAACGAATGTCAGAAAGAATGTCAGGCGGCGTGCCAGAAAGAACTTCAGCAGACATGCCAGAGAGAATGGCAGAAACTGTGCCATAAAAAATGTCAGAAAGTATGTCTGAAGATATGTCACAGAAGAGAACGTCAGAAGATACGCCAGAAAGAATGTCAGGAAGACCTCACCTCAACCGCCAGCTCCGGACGGCAGTGTTCCCCGCCGGACCTCAACCGCCAGTTGCGGACGGCAGTGTTCCCCGCTGGACCTCAACCGCCAGTTCCGGACGGCAGTGTTCCCCGCCGGACCTCAACCGCAAGTCAAAAGATACGCCACATAGAACGCCAGAAAAATGTCAGGAAGAAACTCAGAAGATATGCGAGATAGAATGTCAGAACCAATGTCAGAAGATATGCCATAAAGAATACGTCAGAAAGAATGTGAGGAGATATGCAGAAGATATGCCAGATAGAATGTCAGAAGATATGCCAGAAGGAATGAATGTCAGAAGATATGCCAGAAAGAATGCCAAAAGCTGTGCCAAAAGAATGTCAGAAGAGATGCCAGAACGATTGTCAGAAAGAATGCCAGGACCCTTGCCAGAAGAATGCCAGAAAGAACTTCAGCAGATATGCCAGATAGAATGGCAGCCAGAAAAAATGTCAGAAAGTATGTCTGAAGATATGTCACAGAAGAGAAC